TTTGCGGCTCCCCTGTACCCCCTCCATTACAAACATAAAACATAAAAAACTAACACTTCGGTGCACTAATTAGATAAAATTTTTATACAGATGGATTGCCTATGTTCACAACTACTCACATCACTAATAAAAATCTAGTTTCACTAATTAGAAATCATTATTATTAGCATTTAGTCTCTAATTAATCATCAAAAGCTGTCGTTTTTATTATTATAGCCCATAGTTACGACAGTATTATATTTTATTATTATTAAAGACGTTCGCAACTAGCGTATGCTACCGCTACAGAAGCTAGTAACTAGTTTATGCTACTATTACATTCGTTACATCTACCACCTACAATAAACAGATGAAGATTTTAATCTTTTTTTTCTCACACGAATACCTTATGCTAGAACTTGAGTCCACTTTAGTCTATTTAAAATTCGGAACTTTTCCATCCACTGGGAAGCTTTTATCAAATTTTCGTTTATGAAAAAATATATCAATTACTCACCTGGTAATACGAAAAAATATAAATGTCTCAACAATATTGATAGCTATATCATAAATACTGTTTAAACTATTATCATTCACAATATTTCTCAATGAATCCACTAAGCACTTCAGCATACTGACATATTCTAAACAAAAAGTTTCTTATACGTTCTCTCTAGTAATATTTCCTATTGATAGATCCAATAAACTTCAAATGTTAAACAGGTTTTATTATCTTATTTTTGAACAAAATATGATCTCACTACACTGAAAAAATAAATCTTCTATTTGATCAGTATCTACCTGACTGAAATATGTGAGTTCCACATTTTAGCCCCGACGGGGCTGCGCTGACAAGCTTTTTTCAATGATCATTTTGTGCTTGTGCTTTTGACAAAATAACTTTTTCATTTGTATTATAAAAATATCTCAAAACTTAATTGATTGATTTATTGAACACCTAATGCGTAAACAGATTTTTCTGTACAGATGATATTTTAAAATATTGATTGGTTCAATATCAACATCAACAGTGGGTTATATATTAGTTGATTTGCTTCAGCTTTGATTATACTACGAAAAAATGATAACTTTCTCATGATCTATATTTTATCCGCTATAATACCGAAACGTTTACCGGGGTGTGGGTGTGTTAGAAATAGGACAATACCAACACACACACACACCCAGAGAGATGAGAAAGAGATATATTAGGACAATGGGAAAAGAACAGAAAGAGAAGGAAGGATAATCATCTAAGTGTGTCACCAATATCGGCACAGTGTTGGTTCAGCTTCAAGAGATTCAATTGAACAATAAGTAACACCCGATTTTGCTAAATCATTTTCATCTATAGTTCATCGAGTTTAAAATTACGCATGTGCTGTTCAAGCTGTATTCAAAAATTTCACGCCCCAGGACAATCATTCTGACCGTCGGAATGGGCATCTTAACAGGCCTGAAGCGGCTATAAAACGGCATAATAAGGCATTCGTTTACACACCGTTTTCTTGGGCATGTGGTGCTTCAATTTTGTGAACTAATGACACGCATGATTCTAAAAAGGAAAACAAATAACGAAAATATAAAAAACAAAAGTCATCATCAGATATAATTTAGAGACTATATGTACGTTTCAATAACTAAATTAGGCAAAACATTTTCATTAGTTTTGGCAACTTTATTGTAAATTTCAGACTTCGCTCATTAAATTTTACACTACATCACTTAATTAGTCATTATCTAAATCTAGAGTCAAGCCATCACGAAAACAGTAAAGGAAATCAAATTCAAATGAATGATTTGGTTCGATTTGTTGTATGTATATTCTAAAATATATGTGTACATTAAACAAATGTGTCGAAACTACTTCTCTTCTTAAAAAGTAAATTATATACGTAAGTTATAAGGTAAGAACATAAATATTTCTGCCAACAGTAATAAGAAGATGAAAGAATAAGTGGTTTACCAACTATTTCTTCATGATAGATCATATTTTTATTGAATTATGGAACTGTTTTTGATTTTAAATAAATTTTTTTAATATCATTTTGTTGTTAAAAGATTCTTTAATTTTATTCATTATAAGTAATATTAGTGTTTGATCTTTGTCTGCCCAGGAGGATCATCCTGCCGTCTGAAAGGCCATCGGAAACGGCCTGAAACGGCTATAAAACGATATAAAACGGCATTAATTTTCACCCTATTTCGCCGTAATCCGTCAGCTCGGAAAACGAGCTGACGGAAAACGGCGCCGTTTTTTAACGTTTTACATCGTTTTTATGCCGTTTCAGGCCGTTTTCTTTCACCTGGGTGATTGCTGGCGAGAAAGTAAAAGTTGAGTCCATTGATGGTTTTGATGATGACTCTGATGAAGTAGTCAATTTCTAAAAGCATTAAGAAATTAATTTGTAATTCATGCTAGAAAAAGCCTTCATTGTACCAAAGTTTTTAGAAATTTGAAATCCTTTTTCGGATTCAGAAATCAGGCGCTTTAATAGATAGAATTGTATATCTCGATTCTCCAACATGTCTCATTATATTCGAATAAACATCGATTTTATTTTCTTCTTTTAACTGATTCTAATTATACAATTTACTTGCTGTATGTATATCTTTGTTTGTTGCAGTGTTCAATTTCAGATCGTTATATATTTGTGATTAATTGACGTTGGTGAAAAGAAAACGCTTCCATTATTTTACTGGAACCATCGTGTTGCTCGCAGTGGAAAAAATGGCTATATTTGTGAGTGTATGATATACACAATGTTGGCAAACGCTATTCTTCAAGTTAAGTAAAGTATCGTTTTCAATCTTTCTTTTGTTCTTCAGGAAAATAGTTCCATATCAGGTGTTCACCATGAATGTAGAAATGGAAACTCTTTATGCAAGATGGAGAAGATTTATCAACAAAATATTCCAACATATCGTTCTTCTTTTCTGTTCACCGCTTTGTTTCTCAGTTATTTTACGACGAATATTTTACAACTAGAAGAAATCGAGGATTGATAAACAAAACGTCTCTAATAATATGTGATCAACGAGAACTGTTTTGGATGGCATACATCAATTGCCTCTTGTTCCCAGGTCATGAGGGTGTGGGTGTGAGAAGAAGCCTCCTAATCGTCCTCACACACCCATAACCACACCCGTCCAATATTAAATGAAGGTTTCTCGATGAAATATGAAATTCTTGATTGAACCGAAAGTCATTTCGGTGTGCCTATGTATGTGGCAGTAGAAAAAACCATATTTTACTATACAAAAAATTTTGTTGCATGAAAGAACTATATTTCGAATATTTTCAGATACATATATTTTCTTTAATATGAACCTTTCAGCGATAACAACTGGAACTTGTCGCAAGTACGTTTCTCGTACTATATTCAAATCAACGCAAGTAAAAACCTCAATTTCAAATTACTACTCATATTATATTTTGCAGGAGCTGAGTCTCATCAAATTGCTGTTAGAAGCAGTATAAAAAGATTTGATGGGAAAGGTTTTGCAGCGCTTAAAATTCGTAGTTAAATGTCAGAAGGAAAATTTACTCTCATTGGTAATGTTTAGTAGATTCATCTATATTTATAGTATCTTGTTTTATCATGTTAACTTGATGATGGTGAGAAAGATCATAGACGGCAAACACGTTCGTTGAAACAAGAAAATAATAATGGTTACTCTTATTCTTAAAGTTTTCTATTGATTAATTTCATGTTGATATTGTAGAGTATATAGATGACGAAAATGATGAAAATGAGATCAACATAATATCTATCGGTAGCTCAATTTCAATCTCAAATGGTTTCATAAATTTATCACTCTTCAATTTTAATGCTCGTAGCCAAATTTTAAATATAAAGCTGTTATTTTGGTAAAATAGGTCTTTAATAAGTCAACCACTATTCGTAACAAATGAAGTGGCGTTTATTGGTCACATTTATTTGTTCTTATTGGATAAGCAAAACTATTCCAGATTTAAATTACTAAAGTCACATTCTAAAAATAATTCATCTCAGTTCAAACGATTTGCCCAAGAACCATCTTTGAACAAGAAGTTCAACATAAAACAAAATGGTGCAAAACAGAACTGTTGTAAACATCTGAAGCTGTTTATTACCTAGCATGTTTCTTTAAACTAGCTAGAATAATAAAAAGTTCCATGCGGCACCTTTTTTTAGATAGTGAGCAAGAATTAAATAAATGCTTCACGTTTTGCAAACTGTAAAAACATATTACCATACACCGCTGATCATTATAAGCAGTATCCCGCCGACCCAGTGCTACATGGTTAACACAGATCTATGATTAGATCTTAGTAAATATGCTAAAGCTTTGGTATGATTTTTACCAACCGAAAATACCTGGTAGCAATTAAAATTCATAAATGTATCATCAAACCATTTAACTATTAAAATTACACTATTCAATGTAAAACCAGCAATCAAGATTAAACATAGCTAGCGAATGTCGAGCCTGTTCTACTATATTTCTCCTCTTAACATAATCTCCAATAGATATAAAGTTAAATCAATCTTGAGAGATCTTTCAGACAGGTCGAAACCAGCCCTGAAAATCTCGACACATCTATACTAACCAATTCAACGCCCTCCATCCGCCATAAAACATATTACCAATTTGTCTACTGTATCTTTTTTTCGTCTTGGTCATTTTTATCATTTGCTTATGCTATGTAATGCACAGCCATGAATAGTGTTTTAATATTTCTATAAATAACACAAAAATCATCAGTGAAATTAGTTCGATATTTATCTTTCTTTTTATTTTTATCAGAGCAATATATCCCGGTCTGTTTTCATTCTATCTGTGATATGTGAGCACCCGTTCAAGCTATTTTTGGGTTACTCGCTTTACAGTTGTGCACAGATTTAAAAATAAAAATTTGATACTGCCTGCTTGAACACCACTTGAAGTAGATAAAACACTGTTTGACTTGAACAAGAAAAATAAAAGCAAGAGCGACAAAGAGAAGGCCAACAAAATACTTATTGTCAACAGTTAGTCTAACGTTTGAAGAGATATTTTTCAAGAACAAAAAACGGATTTTCGAAAAATATCACTACAACGATAGCCGTAACATAAGTGAAGAATATATTTGAAACGTAAGTGTTAAGAACCATATATGCCTGATTGTAAATAGGATTTGTTTGATTGTATATAGTTGTTAGTAGAACAGTCAAATGGATGAGATAAGCAGCATAGTTAAGACGAGCTAGAGGAGCCCATATTGGCCATGAAAGAATTGTATTGACTATTCCACCTTGATTTGTACTACACAAAAAGAGAATCCATCCAATCACTAATGCCCAACATGGACGCGAAAGTATTTGATACGTAATGAGCGCTGATCGACTGAGACCTGGTGCGAGAACATAATCGAGATACATCACAAAGACACAGGTCAGACCAACTACAATCGCTAGAATACTTCCAAATATTTTAGTATAGGTATTAGAATGATACGAGCGACCAACGTTGACAACAGTAAAACCAGTGAGAAGTCCAATAGCATACGCTGAAATACGGCACCATGGTGCAATATAGACCTTGTTGAAGAAACTAGGACCATCCTATTAAAGCAACGTTACTTATTAACAAGAAAAGTACAACAGATCAAAACTTACTATGTTCGTGGCGTCTGTAAGCAGATTCAATGACATACTTGGATAATAAAGAAGAGTACCTAAAATAGAACCCATGCCGACAAGAACAAATAGAATGGCAACCACGTATCCAATCGGCTTTCGACCAATGACGAATGGAATAAGTGCAAGCGGTGCAATCCAATGAAACTGCATATCATTATGAAGATACCATGAAATACCTAGACACATATCATTGGAATGAACTAAATTGCCAACATAAAAAATATCTGTCCACCATCCACGGTGCCTACAACCGTCCGATTCAAATCCTTGCACAACTGGAAAGATAGGCCCACGACCAAAAAATGGCGTCAAGTTAATACTGACAAGAATAATAAGAAGAAACGTCGGCGTAAGTCGAATATATCGGTGAACATAATAAAGAATGAAAAGACGGAATGAAAATTTTTCTTTAGTGGCTGCTCGAACGAAGATAATTGTTGTCAAAAAACCACTGAGAACAAAGAAAGTATCTACACTCAATATACCACTAGTAATAAATTGAAATGCCACGTTCTGAGACCAAGCGAGTACATCGACTGGATTGTTTGTGTAGAATAAATTAAACAGAATTGAATGGCCCAGAATCACCCAGAAAAGTGAAAGTACACGAAGACCATGGATGAAAGCAAGTGAATTTTCATTGTCGTTTTTTGTCATGGTAAAAATGCGTCGTATGGTACGTATTGCCGAAAATTGAGTAATGAATGCTGATCGAGGTGCTGCATCCAATAGAGCTTGAATGGAAAAGCGTGCATGCTGTGGTACTACACTTGATTTACCGTCAGTCGATCTGATACTGGACATGCAGTCATATCCATTTATATGCGGTGCCACATGAGTGACTGATTTAAGACGAGAAGTAAGAAGATCGACGATGGTACCAATTAGCACGAGGAGACCGAGTAGCGAGAGAACAAGGCATGTGACAACTACACCACGAGGTAGACTCTTTTGCTTACTAGCAGCATCATTCGAACAGAGAAGAGTATTTTCGGTAATATTATCTTTTTTGAATAGACTTCGAGCTAGTATAGAAATTGATTGGCGATCACACGATTCAGGTACACAGATACCAAGAGTAAGCGCAGAAGACGTTGTACCTTCAGATGTCGTTTCACTTAGAGAAAGAGCACCTGACAAGAAAGAATTTTCCCCTAATTTCATATTCATAAAACGAGTTATATTAACTTACAGTATTGACCATCGAACGGTTGATGTACGAAGGTTTTATTCGCTACTTGATATAATGGATCGAGACACTCATCATAATTGCCCGTCCACAAAATATTGCCTTTGAGTAAACCTGACGGTAAGGGTTTACCCCATGAATCGAAAATTTTAAGGGCCCATAAATCACGTCTTAGAGCTGCTTTAACTAAAACTACAAAGTCTTGTTCACATGTGGTTGTTTTGTTGCTATTAGAGGAGTCTAAGTTAAGTCCGAGCATTTCAGCAGGTGTGATACTGTATGCTTCATAGTCAATTTCGTGAAGCGTGTAACGATGACGTTGAAGAAGCTGATTAATGGCTACATCGAAACGAAGAGGAATTGTTTGATATGCCTGCGGATAAACGATGTCCGGTAAAGATAAGAGTAATACTACCACAATGGCGTACATTCTAAGGTTAGTGTATTATTTGTGAGTTGCGAGTGAAATGAATGTGCTATTTTTATATGTGAAAGTATGAAGACAAATGAGTAAACACGTTAACAAAGTTTCTTTTACACTCTAGATAAAAAGAAAGCGATGGTGATCTGATACACTCACATTATCTATTTTAGATGTATGACCCATGTTTATATGCTTCATTCGATAAGTGCTAATGATTCATACTTATCGTTAATGACTCATCTTAGTTTCTATTCAAACGATAACTTGCTATTTGACTAATAGTTTTACTGAAGGCACGAAAATTGGGACACTGATACCATTGTCGCTAGTAAAAAAAAACGAATATGATTGTATTCTCATTTGCTTGGAAAATAATTACATGGATGATTTTGGTCAAAATAAGTATAATTATCTCCTGAAATATGTAAAGCATAAGCAGGATTGCAGTTAGAATAAAAAGATCAATATAATCCTTGCATTTTCGACTCTAGATTTTCAGCAGTTCGGGTTGTCGAAAAAGTAAAGGTATTCATGTGGATGTGGTTGTTAAGACAAGACGAGTGCCTACACGTAAACCCGCAATCGTCCTCATACCCACAGGTAGAGATGCACCGAGAGCGAGACAAAACAGAGATTCTTGATTTCGGTCTCGGTGCATCCCACACCCACACCCTTGATCAGATCGGTCAATATATTTTGTTTCATTGTTCAGTTTCAATAACAACAATATATTGAGTATTATGTATCGATGAGGAATGTTATTGAACTGAATGGATGTTCTGCTTTTATAGATAAGATCTGACGAAAAAATATTAGAATAAAATCAATTGCTTTTTTTTTGAGCGAAAATAAAGCCATTTTCTTTATCAGTGAGTTAAAACAGAGAATATCTCTGACAATCTCATTTTATAGTTTTTTCCAAGTTATACATTCCGACGTATATTTTAATCAATTATCTGAACTAGCTGCAGTATTACTCGTTCGTAGAATAACAATTTCTTACGAAATATTTTTCTGCGACGACAAAAACAACATTACCATTAATAAAAGTATATACTCATGAATTAGTGGTTTGCTCTTTATTGAAACAAATATCTTGAGAATGCAGAAGAAGCTGATCCAACTGTGCGTGATAGTGCATTTCAAAGTCTTGTTGAAAAATATATTCTTCCGAATTTAACTGATATGAATGAACTTAAATCAAATACACTATGTTTATTATTTTTCCGTCTAATTCTTATGTGTTTTTAGATTAAAGAATATGCTGAACAATCAACTCTACTTAATCTTCGACTGTTCCTCTAATTATGACTAATGATTCGCCTGTTAATTCAATAGCAATAATAAAAAAAAGAAATCAATAAATACTGAAGTAACAATTAATCATAAAACAAGATGAAGAATCAAAATTGCCTGCCTTAGTAAAGAAAAGCTGAATCGTGGTAGCTAAAACTCCTGCTATGCCGACCAAGAACGAATCGTTAGAAGAAAAGAAGGAAGAATCACGACCACCTAAAGTGAATGTTCAGTTGTTCACAAAAAAAAGAAACAATTTTCTTTCTCTTTGTGCAATAATTAGGCCGCTGCACCAATTGCCAATGCCGTACCTCCTATTACTTCGTGTCAAAGTAAACAAACAGTTGCTAATACTTCTTCATCTAATGTAACATTAAATCTACCAAAGCTTCACCATCATAAACAATACCATCATCACCAAGAACAACTATATCAATTAATATGTAATCACGTACTCACCGTTTAATATCAATTGTTCAACCTTCAATAACAAAAATTCGACTTAAACCACTAGTTTCAACAAATTGACGTTCATCCTTAAGTAGTACGAATACTCAAACATTAAATATCATGTACAGAAACGCTAACATCATTCACAATAATAAATATATTTCGATCATTTTGTTAAAAAATTATTTGAACCAAAAGACTGACTTGTCTGATCCTATTAGTTCTCTCGTAACTTAGGTTATTCTATATTTATTTTCTCACATAGTACAATGATTGATTAAATAATTATTGAAATTTTTTTTCACATGTTTCAATACCTATTCTTTTTTTCTTTTTAACTATTAACCAACAAGAGAAATTACGTAATATACATTTATCAGATACGGACACTCGCTAGGTTAATTTTCTTTTTGAAGAATTCTCAAAAACATTAAGGAAGATATTGATTTTGATATGTAAGTTACCAATTGATTAATTTCTAGCATTCGAATTGTAATCATATTAGAAGCAGTCATACAAATTTTGGTTTCTTTTACCTATAATTGAAATGCTTATGAAACCACACATAATTAGACTCCCTCACACAATAAATGATAAAATCTTTTTATAGGAATTCCTACTTGAATTCACATAACAGACATGTTAAATGGATTGTTGCACCCAATTAGAAAGCTAATTTTCTTTCAACTAGACGTGTATGTTTATAAAGGTATATTTAGAAAAGTATCAACTACAAAAATTAAATTTCATTCTTGTGAATACATCAATAAATGTTATTTTTTTATTTTGTCACAAACTGTTTGTCGTGTATTTTTTTTTCGGTGGACATACCACTGGCAAGGAACGAGTATTCGTGCAAATATAAGGATGTGTGAGTGCATTGGTGTACTCATTTGTTTTTTGCCTCACTCTCACACAAGCCCTTCATTCGAACGATGAATTCAATATTAATCGCAATATGCATCGTTTCGACCTTACTGTATTATAGATTGTGCCACAAAGCACAGAGCACTTTATGTTAGCATGTTCGTTTACATAGATTTTTCTTTCAACACTTTCAATGCATTTTACTTTGCTTTTTAAACAAATTGTTTATTATTCGAAACAAAATATCCAAAAAACACAATCCAAAAAAACGTAAACTTTTAAATACAAATTTGCACTTAGTTTCTTAAACACAAATTTAATGAATGCATTTGCTGGATTATATATAAATGCAACTAACAACAAACAAAAGTAGACTAGATCAGAACAATTTCTTTTTTCCTTGAGAACCGTGTTTATCTTTGTGATGTTCCACTTTAGCAATATAATAGTTTTTGTAATGTTCAGCTTTATAAGCATGTTCGTCTTGTTTCATTTTAGTTATACCAGATTCGAATACAGCCTCAACACGTTCACTCGGTATTTTACTTGGGCCCTGAGCTTTTTGCGCTAAATCTTCGGCATTTTTACCTTGTGTAGTTTATGCTATTTTTTCAATACCGGCTTTAATTCCATTCGTCTCTTTTCTAATTAAAAAAATTATAGTTTATATTACAAAATAATCGTTTCTTATGAAACTTACGCAGTGAAGATAATAGTAGGAGAGAGAAGTTTCTTCTACTGAATTAATGGGAATAAATGAAAAAAACTCCATCTATATGTATTTCTCTATACAAAACGATGCACTCGATTCTCTTCTTTCTCTCATAGAGAAGTAGCGAGAAGAAAATAAAGGTCATTGCCTAGGAAATTATATGTGGTTCATGCGTATACATATACACCACGTTTCTTGTTCATGTGCTGTTCCTTCTATTCAACACATGGCGAGATAAAAGCAACATATGACTAGATAGTCGTTTTTTTGTGATCGGTAAATTTTTTGCACGTCAGAATTCGTCATATTGTTTTGTAAAGGTTTTTCTTCTGATGCTGTACACGAAAAGTTATTTTCTAATTTTAAATCGAATCGTTTATTATTTGAAGCAAAATATACATTCTACAACCCAAAATAATACAATCCAAAAAGTTAACTTATTAACTAAAATTTGTACTCAATCACTTGAACACAAACTTATTGAATTCATCTGCTGGAATAAATATAACTGTAACTGGCAGTAAGCAAAAGTAAATTAGGAAAAAAGCGTTGTTTTTAATGAGAACCATGTTTATCTTTCTATTCAACTTTGGCATTATGTTTGTTTTTGTGTTGTTCAGCTTTATGAGCATGCTCGTCTTGTTTCATTGTAGCAATACCAGATTTAACTGCAGTCTCAACACGTTCACTTGAGTTTATAGTTGGACCTTGAGCTATTTGTGCTTTATCCTCGTCTTTTATTCCTTTTGTAGCTTCTTTTATTTTTTCAATATCAGCTTTAGCAGCATCCATTTTTCTAATTAAAAAAACTATAGCTTATAATAAAAAATAATTTGTTCCTATAAAACTTACGCAGTAAATATAATAGTAGTAGAGAGAAGTTTCTTTTATGGAATTAATGAGAATATGTGAAAAAATGCCACCTATTTATTTTCTCTACAAAGCATGCACTCGATTCTCCCCTTCTTTCTCTCAATGAGAATAACTTGAGAAATCAAAGGTAATTACTGACGAAATTTTATGTTGTTCATTAGTGTACGCCTGTTCTTCCTATTCTTAAGATGGCGAGATAAAAGCAACATATGACTAGAAAGCTGTCTTTTGTAATCGGTACATTAGAATGTCTCATATTGTTAGGTAGATATGAATGAAATCATTCAATTTGTATGCCAACAACTCTTAAAAATGGAATATTGGCAAAAAAAGATAAAAGTGAACTTTGGAATTGAATGATAACGAGATTGACTTTAAGAAATTGCATTGGTGGAATCGAAAACCAGTAAAATAGGTTTTTTCACAATTTCTTAGGTTTTCTATTAGAACTATGTTATTTACAGCTGACGAAAGGGAAGGTCCCTGGGTGTTTCTCTGGGATTTTAACCAAAAGTAAATGGATGTGTCAGGCCAAGTATTGGTATCTCAAATATAAACAAATTGGCGGCTGAGAGCAAACGAATAAAAATATTCAGTGAACAAACTTTTTTTATAACCCTGAGGGGTACGATCAGTACTTTGTCATCAAAAAAACCCGTCTGTGGTACTTCTCAGGGTTAAAAAAAAGTTTGTTCACTGAATTTTTTTATTCGTTTGCTCTCAGCCGCTAATTTGTTTATATTTGAGATACTAATACTTGACCTGGCACTAGGGGTGGACCGTTGATTTTAATTTGAGTTAATTAAGTAGTTTTACTTAACGCTTAATATTAATAAAAAAATGTTTACATTAGCCACTTAATTACTTAATATTAAGTGTTAAAGCAATATTAAATATTTTAAAATTAAATATTACGTTATGACTTAATGTAAAAGATTAAGTGCTTCGTTAACATTTAATATTAAAAATTAAGTCTTGATTTAATACTTAATATTAAGTAATTAAGTGGTTAATGTAAACGTTTTTCTTATTAATGTTAAGTGTTACGTTAAAACTCAACACTTAATATTAAATTAACGTAAAGTGCCACCCCTACCTGGCACACCCATTTACGTTTGGTTAAAGTATCAGAGAAACACCCAGGGACGTTTCTTCGTGAGAGAAAATAACTCCAATTGATGGGCACCTATCGAGATTACATCTGGTTCATGCATAGACTGCAAATAGAGTAGTTGAGATCAAAATGGATTCTTACTCATGAGTCATAGCTGCTTTATTCGGCCGAAGTTTCAACCTTTTGTTTACGCTTTTTCACCTCTAAAACAGTTATTAATAAAGAGCATTTAATTCGAAGAATTTCATCTGAAAATTTCTCTATTGCAAGTTTGAATGTAATTATAGTCTTGCTGATAAATTGAGCTAAGAAAAGTGCATTCTATTTACATGCGATATTGGATGTCCAATAGACAGTAATCCCTCACAGACAACACAATCAAATAAATTGACTAGATAAACATAGGCTATTTCAAATGAACTGCATTTGTTTGTGCTGAAATTTTCGAATGTTCTATTGATCGAGAGATTTGTCCAGAGAAAAAAAATTACATTACTCAAATCTTTATGAACACTTGATATAGAAATCTATTGCTTTATTTAATCGTTTTATGTTCATAACATGATAAAAAGTTATAATAAACGTTACATTGTATATATATGTATATTGTTTTTTTAATGATTGCATTATATTCAAGTTAAGATCTCGATATTACATTAATCGATGATATTAAACATATGTTTGCAAACAATTTATATAGAATTTCTCAGAAAGTTTTGACGGTTCCCTTCCTGCAAACTTCTTTTTCTAATTCAAACATGTTCGAATATTTTACCTATATCTTTATCATACATTATGTTAAATTCAATTGTATGTAACCCAGATGTACTTCATTACAAGACAAGAACTTATTAAGCGTGTATTCAGATTGAGAAAGTAACTTTAAGTTTCATCTATTCCAAAATAGATACTTCTTATATGAAGAATTCTCTGTTTATCCTCGATTGTTACGGTCTCATTCTTTCGAAACGAAAATTTTGAGACTTATAGAGTTCATCGTATCACATTTGAGTATCGCTGAAATTGAGTATTTTTGTCAAAATCATAAAAATTGAATAAAGCACTTTTAAATATTCACATGAGGATATTTAATTTAGCCTCTGATGTTTATAATCATAGGATTATCGATCGTCTTTGTATGCATGTTCACTTTCTATACTCACGATTTTAGTTGCATCATGAAGAGCATCTATATGCTATTATGGTAGTTTTGATGGATCAGTTGCTTTATCAAGTTTGTCTTACTGCAAACAGCTTCTGGGGTCTATTAGTAGAGTATATCTAATTGAAATACACGTTTTAAAAGGATTCGCTTCAATCCTTTATGTGCGCTAGGTTTCAGCGCATATAGTCTTTCGTCATTAGAAGTGGTTACAGGTAAAAATAAATATTATGTATCAATGCAAGGAAAGAAATTTTCGATGTATATATACGTATGTTATTTCGATCACGCTTGATTACGCATATGATCTGAATAGTAAAATGTGACGGAGTGCATAATTTTTCTCGTTATATCAGATGGTTGCATTATGAAAGGTTCATATTTAAGAAAGGAAATAAAGCATCGTGCTCCAGAAAAATAATTAGTCGAACAAAGGCTTGTTATTGTTTTGATACGTGATATTTTTCCATTGTCAATTATCTATAATTACTCATTTTTATGTATGTAGTGATCTTTCGAGGAAAGACTGCTAATTGTGAATTTGTGTTTTCAATCAGTCGTGTGCCAGTTTTCAGAGTTCAACGCATTATATTGATATCAAGTTTAGATAAAATACTTGGAAACTTTTATTCCAGAAATTTGAATAATTGTAATATGAAAAACTTCAACATTGTTTAAATTCAAAAGAATAGAAATTTTAACAATTCCTTCACATCGAATACGTTCATTACCTACTGTATCTATTATAATTTTCAAGTGACATAACACCAAACAATGCAATAGAAGACCCCACACCCTATATATATATGTCGTAGGCCAATCTAGGGTCCGCCTAGCCCATTCTAAGGTGCGGGTTTGGACAAGTTCATTCTTCAATCTTAGTTTGGCCTGATGTTTTTCAAGGCCAATCTACGATTCTCGAATGGCCTAGTCCAAATTCAAAGCTCACTTTAAATCATTAGGCCAAACCAAGATTGGTCGGTTTTTTTAGGCCAATCTAAGATTTGCCTAGGTCAAACCAGGATAAAGTTGTCGAATGGTACATTTCGACCTTCACTGTAAAAGTATTTTTTTTTAAACTTTACGACCATTGGAGAATGTGAAAGACAGCTGATAGATTATGAAAACGATAAAAAGCAATTCATAGAAAACACGAAAGAGTTATCAAAGGAGCGATTGAAATCAATTGTGATAGAATTTTATGATATTAGTGAAACTTCTGCACAAGAAGTTATTATCAGCGAGAGCGATGACTGCCAACGAAGGAACTTCTTGTGGGTGTCGGTGTGTGTGTACGCGTTGTCTAATCAACACCCACACCAAGGGGGAAAAAGCGGATCCTGGATCCTTGAATCCTGGTGGATCCGCTTTTCTTCCTTCCCCACACCCCTCAAAATCCCGAAACCTTGTGAAATCTGCTCAACTTAAAAAAGCTCGGTGCAGAAATTGAGAACTTCTAAAGTTTGGTAGAGTACGAATTTCTTTAGAGTATAGTCATGTGATGCTCTCAATCTATAATTTCTTGACGGTGTGGGTGTGGGTGTGGGTGTGAAAAGAAGCCTCCTAATCTTCCTCACACACCCACACCCACACCCACACCCATCTAAGGTACAATATTGAACTAGTCCACTCTTGAATCTTAGTTTGGCCTGGGTTTTTTCAAGGGTGTGGGTGTCGAGACTTCAATGTTTGAATGAAAATCACCCACACCCTGGAGTCGTATATTTGGTGAATGGTGTATTATGCTTTTCTCTAGTTAGCCTTAATTAGGTGTCCCATAACTCTAGTGGAGAATATGAGTCATTTCATCGTTTTCTCTTGATCATCGAAATGTAACGGCTCTTCCTTTTTATGACTAAAATAATTATTAGTATTGAATAAACCTTCGCGCACACCAAGCATGATGCTTTCTCCAACAACGAGTATGGTGTACGAATAATAGTCCAAGTTGGAAAATTTATCCGTAATACCGCTGATGATTTTTGGATATGGATGTGTTTTATACCATACGACGCATTTCGACGTTGCTTAAGGGTCTCACCAGAGTGGGTATATGGGTGTGAATGATTTCATTCAAACATTAAAGCTTCGACACCCACACCCACACCCACACCCAAAAATTGATTGAAGCCAAACATAACTGTGTTAAAATATTATGTGCTAATTACTTAGTATATATAGTATGGCGACAACATTGTGTGTGTGAGCGTGGATGTGGGTATATAGGAATATATGAGTCTCGTGTATAGCTACAATCATAGTCATATGCCACACCCAGAAACTCGAGAAAGCACGAAATCCGAATACTCTAAAAATTGTTTTTTGTTCCTAGTGAATTTCATGACTCGTCGATCAGTAAAAGACAAGCTATTTTGTATCATTACTCTATCTCTAGAATGGGTCATTTTCAAAATCGATCAGTTTTAAAAAAAATAGAAAATAGAACTTTAAGAAACTATTTTTCTACTTGCAACCAATAGCAATCTCGTGATGGACTATCCAATACTATTATGCAGCAGTAAAAATTTTGGGTGTGGGTGTGGGTGTGGGTGTGGGTGGGTGTGGGTTTGGGTGGGTGTGGGTGTGAAAAGAAGCCTCTTAATCTTCCTCACACACCAACACCCCCACCGACACCCACACCCACCCACACCCTCACCCACACCCTCACACCCACACCCATTCGTTCTAGCATCAAAAGAATATCGAGGGTGTGGGTGTAGATAGATACAGAACTGTATGAAAACATATTTTAATGCTGCTTTTTGTCATTGATACCCTCGTTATCAATTTAGCTTTTTATTTAATAAATTTCCCGAAATTCTAACGTATCGTAGATATTCTCAGTAGTAAACAAATGGTAGTGGTGGTTAGTTAACCTAATCTGCAGGTTTACCAAAGGTCTCCGACTCACTTCAGTACGTCAACGAGTGAAAGCTTCTCTTTCTAACTGCTTAGTTGTATAATTACTAAAGAACTTAATCAACTATCCCAAGCATTATTTTTATTCGAGCCCAATTGCCTAAGAGTTACATGAATTTCGGCCCACGGAATTTTCGGGCCGGACTTTCGGACCAATTTTATACAAATTCATTAAACTCGGAGAAAAAACGATTTTTTTTGAAAATTGGTTTCTAGATTTTTTTTAGTANTCACCAGAGTGGGTATATGGGTGTGAATGATTTCATTCAAACATTAAAGCTTCGACACCCACACCCACACCCACACCCACACCCACACCCACACCCACACCCTTATCGACGTATTGATCCCATTTCGTTGCTTCTTCCTTTTTCTGCGTCATCGATTGCGAGAGTACTTAACTGTTCGACCAAATGTGTTGTGTATACATTCTTTCTGATAATTTAATTCATTATGATCTATCCAAACTGTGTTTTTCTCCTTATTGCAATTGTTGGGAGCACAGGTAAGAATTCACTTTCTGCATATGTGTGCACTATGCCGAATTGTTTTATGCCTACTTATCATACATTGTAGTCCTGAGTCATATAGGATTGCCTGCTGTGAAGATCTCAGTCGAATGTAACTTAATGTTCGGGAGAGGGACGATATTGACTGTACCTCGGTTTTGCATATATTAGAACAAATGAAAATAAAATAAGAAACTGGCAGCAATTGTGTCTTTTGAACAAAAACTGAAAACAATTCTTGTTTTTCAAAGTCAAACTTTAATGCTAATTTGAAAAAAAACCATGGGACAACTCATAGCACCGATTTTTCAAAGGGCTCGTCAGTGAATCGATACTTACGTTGAAAAACTGAACACATGGGAAAACTCTTATTGATATTGAACAGCGGTAGCTCATAGTCATTACAAATATAAACAGAATGCATTTGATAGTGTTGCATATAATTATATTCTGTCAATTGTAAAAAAGAGATGTTTACTCTTTCTCATTCGATAATGTGCAGTATACTATGTGTTGTAACTAAAATGTAGGCAGGAGGACTTTTCCCTCTATCTCGCAAATAACAAGTCAAATTTGACTGAGATCTTCACAGGAACTAATCGTCGATGAGATGACTTCACAAGAAAGATTTTAGCTGAACGAAATGCTCTGTTGCGAAGATGTGAAAAGAAAACACCGTACATACTCAGTATTGATACCTATCGGGCAACTTGTTTCACTTATTTTTTTCGAAATCAATAAGTAATGGGATCATTTGTTTAAATTTGAATCAAAGGCAGGAACCAAAGTCATTAAAAAAAGATGACCTCTTAGGAAGTGTATAAGTTAGGAATGTTCCCTCACTAGATCAGTCCTGTTATACATTACCGTTCAGACATCATGCCAGAAAAGTTTATGGTGAATCTGAGTACGAAATCGGAGAAGGCAGTCTTTCTATTCATAAAGTTAACAAAACTTTTAAGCTGGAACCGAGTGAAACTTTCATGTGCAGACAAAATTAGATACGAATGAGATCTTGTAAAATGGTGAGCGGAAACCTTTAGTCGAATACAAAATTTAATTGTCTAGGATAGAATAATAATTATCTTTTCTTCGATTTAGATCCCATCGAATATCATGCTTATTCTTATTCCTTTTATGCAAACAAAAGCGTCGGCTATTGCTATGCTTCTTCTACGTTTTTCTATCAGCCAAATGGATGTACCAGCACGGCAGACATTTGTGGCGGTCAGTGTAGAAAATAATGAGCGTTCAGCAGCTGGTGGCATAACAAATTTGGTTCGATCAGTTGGTTTATCTATATCACCAATAATTGTCGGTTATCTCCTACAAGATTCAAAAAACCCTATTCTGTTCGCATCGCCTTTTGTCATTGGTGGTGGGCTTAAACTTCTCTACGATATCCTTCTATATGTTTCATTTGATGTTTCGAATCGAAATCAGTTAGTACATGCGAAAAAGCATACTCAGAATATTTGATCTATGTTAGATTCTGTTTTTGTGTACAAAAGCAGAAAATGCTGAATTACTACAATTCTGAATGGTTTCGAATTTATGGTTTCTTGGATAATAAATGTAAACTTGCATGCCGGAATTCATTCGTTTCATTTGAAACTATAACACTTGTTTGAAATTTTTAATCCTAATACAAATATTTTGAATTAAAAGTTGCACGGAATGCTGCTCACATATTTTTATTCGTCTGTACAAGAACTGGCATTTCATGTTACCAAAAACAAACACCAAAAAAATTACTTGGCCTTCATTATGCATAATTGAAACAACTCTTTAGCCAAATAATATGATGGAGCGTATATGTTAAATCAACATTCAAATTAAGAAAAGAACAAATCAGAAGCATTTGTTTTTCGTACATGAAAGTATGTACGAAGTTATAGTAACTTTGCCTCGCAGTAGTTACTGCAGTATAAAATGGATCACCACAATCAATACATTTGCAGCAAGAAATTATTTGTATTGGTGAGATTTCCATGAAACATTTACAATACGTTATATTATGACTAATAATTTGTAGAAGTGTACATATCAGAAACGTCGTTTGGCATTTCAGCTTGTTGTTTAGTGCTTTCAATGACTAGTTGCAGTTAAAATCATTAGTGTAAATAGCTCATTTCAATAGTCTCAAGTTTGATTCATTTTACCAGCTGTCTAATTAAATTAACTCGTCAATTTAGATATATTTATGGTAAAATACAAACACAGATTTATTCAATGCAGCTGGTATAAAGATTGCTGCTCTTCGCCAATTAGTAGAGAATGAGAAGAAGATAAAACATATGCGTGAACCATGCCTACATTAGTATATCGGAAGGAATTTTAATGAATTTTTAGTTAGTTAGTTAGATCCACTACAGTTTTTGGTCTAGGGTGAGGAGAAAACAAAAAGACACAATACATAAAAATAACTATTGGTAAAGTTAGAGGTTTTGCATTTATTGACGACCGTATTGTTAGAACTCGACTGAAGATGAAAACGTGGAAATCAGGAGACCACCCTCCGGTAAACCAACTTTAAATAAACTCCTTCATGGGCCATATTCCCAAAGTTCAGAAGATGCCTTACAATTATTTGAGGTCATTTCCAATTCCTTGCATTTCATGCCATTTTTAATTTCTTTATTTAATTTTATTGTTTTTGCACCAAACTTGAGCATTAACACACGACATTACATGATTCGTAATTCCTTGAGGTTTAAATTGAATTCCTCAACCAGGACAGATATAATGATTATTTGTATCTCTAACAGGAATTTCTGTCACGTTTATTTTGGTCACTCTGCGAGATGCAGCCAAGTCATCATTTCTTCGATTTACAACTCTTTGTTTATATTTGTACTCTCTAAAAAAAGCGTTTCCCAGAAAACCCTAAGAGGGTTTCCGAGGCCTCGGAAACTGAAAAACCGAATAAAAATTTCCTTCGTAGACCAATCTCTGAAACCCAATAAACGTTTCCAAGGTTTCAATTTTGTCCTGCTGAATCGAGAACCACCAGATCGGTATAGCCTACGACAATCATTCCGGGGATGTGAGTGTGGATGCTTCAGTGTAAATGTTGTGCTCATCAATTCTTACATCCTCACGCCCAAGTGAAAGTGAGGTACAAGTAAGACGGCAATCAAATCATTTTCAAGGATAATCACTGAAAAAGAGTAGGCAAAGTCAAGTCCGAGTATGAGACGCTGGACACTGGAAGCTCAGTCATCCTAACCAATAATATACTTGTTTGATAAATCTCTTCGCGGGGGAGAGGGTTAAGCCTCACTCAATCCCTAGAACGCATGGCTCAGAATGGTTTTGATACCGTGCTCAAAGTTTCAGAAACGCATTCAGTCCGCTCTCTGAAATGGCTACATCAGTTGTAGGAGACAATTCCACGTGTCTCTCTCCTGGATCTGCCCATGTTTTGTGACACTATTACAGATAGAGAAACAGACAGGCACAGGTGAATTACAGCTTCTAGGCCGTATCCTTTCAGGAGGGGTGGCAGAGTTCTCACAACCAAAACGTAATAATTTTGTATTCACAACAGAATTTTACTAGCACCTTGCTTGTCAACTAATCATAAGGAATACAGAATTCTTAGCAGAATTCTGCCACTGCTGCCTTTCAGTGTAGCGAACATCTCAACTAAAGATTGCAGTCAGTCAAATATATTTCTCTTTAAAGCATTTTTTAAATACGTCTGAACAACTCAGGATGAATGGTATTTTTCTTCAAAACGATTTGTGTGTTCTATGTCAAAACTTTGATGAAAGAAGAACTGACAAAGCTGATATGCTTCTATTAGGGTTTACAGGTACTTGACTTGAACATAGTGTAGGTAACTTTTTAAAAATGACGAACAAAAGTTCATAAATCAAGAGAAATTAGTCTCGATGATTCGAAAATTCATAGTAATGCAGCATCTCAGTCAAAAAACATTTTACACAGTATATAAAACGATTCAAAAATTAACTACACCAATGCTTCTTTCGTGCACTATTTGAGTACTTAATACTTATGAATAAATACTTAGTAGTGTTGTTTACATCGAGTGTAAGAATTCATTCATCCGATAGAACGGTAATAGAATTACACAATTGTACTATTGGTCTATGACTTACTGCATATGCTTTTTCTGGAGATGATTTCAATTGGGAAAAAACATGGCATCCTAATCGATATTTTAGCAGAAATACCTGTTGATACATTGAGAGTATGGGTTTTACATAAAAATGGCACAGTAACGTGCACACTCTAGACCCACAATCACACTAGAAAAGAAAAGAAAAGAAAAGAAAAATAATTAAAACATGATGTATCTATTCATGCACATCATCCGAAAAAAAACAACTTCGATTGTTGAAACGCCATAAATAAGTTTATTTTCCTTATATTTTCATTTTATATTGCAATAAAAAGAAAAAAACAGAAGGGTAAAAACATAATTTGAAATGTTAATTAAAGAAAAACAATTGAGATCCGAAGTGTATTGCTGTGAAGTGCTTCTTACTTCAAAAAAATATTCTCCACGGTGTACATGAATGCAATATTTCGCTCCAAATTAACTATTAGAATGATAATTCAGATCAATTTTTTCTCTTATTATACTGTAGCTACAGCATCGCTTCATCTCATTTGTAAATAAGCATTCGAATTTTTAGTTCAGATGAATACTTCGCCTGTCGGTTTGTTGCAGTCATATGATCGTGCTAATTAATTTTTTATATTAGATTTGCTTATTATTCGACTGATAGTACGTATATACTGTTTTGTTGACAACTTTCATTTGGATTCGAGGTAGGGGTGGACCATTTTTTTAACGGAACTTAATTAATGACATTAATTAATGACTTCCATTAGCCATTAATCTTAATGGTTAATGTTTTCTAAGAAAAACTTAATTCATTAATATTAATGTTTAATGAAAAACATTAATTTTAAAATTAATGTTAATGTTTTTCATTAATCATTAATATTAATGCATTAATTTTTTCTCAGAAAACATTAAGCATTAATATTAATGGTTAATGAGAAGCATTAACATTAATTTTATATTAATGTTAATGGCCCACCTCTAATTCGAGGTCGAATTAGAGCACCTCTTGATTAACTATGAGAATTAGGTCAAATGGATAGAGATACAGATCCCATTAACAACTTACCATTGTGAATCAAATATTTCTATTTATGAAAAACTTCAAATTTTTTTATACTAAGGAATATAAAAAAAAATTATAGCCATCTAAAGAGTATAACAAACATTGTCAATAATGAATCTTCTTTGCCCATTTTGATAAACAGTGTCTTCCAAACTTGATGGGATGATGAAAAGCAGTCTATTGTGAGTGTTGTTGCACTCAAAAGAAACTAGAACAATGTTTCAGCGAGATAACACATATATAAAACTTTTGAATCATTATTTTGCTTTGAATCACTACTACAATCATATGAATTTCATTATATTTGCTTATTATGTGAAAGCAAGGTATGCTCATTCAACAGCAATTTGACTGCTGATTGGTCCTTTTTCTCTCCCTCCCTCCCTCCTACTCTCTCTCTCTCTCTCTCTCTCTGTTGTATTTAACACAAATTTCATCCAAACCCGTTGGCAAACAAATAGCTTCGCACGACTTTACTCTTTTCATCTTGTTTCGTGTAGCCGTTATTGTGAGTAAAAATTATTTGTCACTGGAATACAAACAATTGATTTTAAACAACGATTCTACTTGAAGCAAGCAACAAGATCGATGCAACCATCCAGAATTTCGGCTGGTCTTCATCGGCCTACAATTCACCGTGTGACCAAAAACGAACTAAAACATCCTCTCAGTTTGAACCAGCTGAATGATTTCTCACTGGTTAGTCTAATCATTTTATGATTATAGCTCTTTTATCGTGAATAATTTTTGTATCTAGCCATCACTCAATACAAATCATCAAATATTAATAGCTGATCAAATTCCGTTAAGACAATTATCGAATAATATCCGACAAAGCCAGAATCATCCCTCGAGTCAGAATGCTGGAAAAATATCGAGCCGAAGGAATCGCCAGATTTTGCCAAATCCTCCAACATTCGATGGAGTACTTACTTCAAGTACAACAAAGTTTTCATTCACCGCCAATCAAGAATCTGGCAATCTTGACAGTCTAGCTTCAGAAAGAAAGAAGCGAAATCGGTAAGTAGAGCATTTAATTCAATTGATATCGAAATCAAACGGAACTGTTCAAGTAAACCAAACTTTGTTCTAAGAAGAAAACGTAATATTTGAATTAGAAAACACAATTTAAAGCAGAATTCTATGGAATTCGACTGATTTCCTGTAGAATGCTATAGAAAGTTGCTGCACGTTGTGTTTGATGATTTCTGACACCCGAAAAACATTGGATGCCCTTGAAAATTCGTACAAACCTATTGAATTTATAGCTGAAAATTAGATATCGTATTAGCCCTCTCCCCCTTCTCCGCCACATCCGCATACTTCCTTGCGCACCTGCAATTAGTTCCAAAGTAGTTGATTAAATATAGTTTATTGTAAGTTTTATTATATAAAAATTCAATCAAATACAACAATTGAATTACAAAAAAAAATGAATACAATAATAATTGAAAAAATTCAATAATAGCGTCTCACGTACTCTTTACGGGCTTCATACGGTACAGCAATGTAAAGCACCATGTAAAATTAAATTTTTAAGTATAAAATAAGTAAAACAAAAAAATCAAACGTAATACAATAGAGAACAAATAAACAGCCTCCATTCTGTATTTTAAGGCTTTATCTCATGCCGTAATACAAACTACAAAAAAAGCTGTTAGCACAATCTTGTGGGATTAAAATGTGAAGCACGATGAAACTTCTTTTCAGGAATTCGTCTATCAGTCACTGATGGTCTGTGGAGCGTCTGTGCCACGGTCTGTATTATAATGTATGAAGTCTCTAGAAACCATCACAGGCCGTTACAGAGAAATTGAATAATTATTAATTAATTAACCAATTAGTTGATTAATTAATTTCTCTGTAACGGTCTGTGTGTGTGTGGGGGGGGGGGGGGGGGGGGCCCAAAGTTCCCANCCCCCCCCCCCCCCGGCGCCCAAATTTCTACCCTATATACTTCAACACTCCTTTCAGATCGTGTTTCACAAAATAGGGTGTGGGTGTGGGTGTTGCACAATCTTTATATGCACACCCACCCTCAGGAACACTATATGGAAGACTTACTTTATTGTATGGAATAAATTCCAATTTTTGATTTAATAGACGAATTAAAAATAGTTTGATCGAAAGACGAAGGCTTTCTTATGTAAAAATTTTAACAACCTATAAGGAAAAGTTTTTAAATCTTCGTACGTATAATCAACGGCGTAACCAGGGAGAGGCAAACGGGCAATTGCCCATGTCATTTTGAGCCTTCTCCATTGTAATTTTCATTAGTTAATTTTTGCTCATTAAAATTTTACTTTTTCCTAATTATTTACTTTTGAATAAACTAGTTACTGTCTCTTTCTATCGTTTGAATCGCATATGTACCCTTTACTTGTTCTTATGAAGAATTAATAGAAGAAAACAGAACAAAAAATGGCTAATGCACAATTGTACATACATATCTATATGTATACTTGTTCTTTTCTTTTATCTTCTCTCAAAATGCTGACATGGAAAGAAAACGATTGAGCCATAACGTATGTTGTCCAGTTTACCATCTTATATCTTTTTTCCGCTACTATATTATAAGAAAAGTTTAAAGAAAAAAGAAAAAGAACAAATATGCTGATATAAAATTGCGCACTTACACTTGTAATTTTGTTGTTCTCTTTTGTCCTATTTCAAAAGACTAACGCTAAGCCATGTCAACTGGAAGACGACCCAATGCACAGTGGGGGATCCAGAAAATCAGTAAAGGGGTGACACTCCTGGTCAAAAAGTGGTTTTTGAAGCCTATTTGAGGTAATACAACTCTTTTCTGTTTCTTTTCTGCTGCGAAAAATCGACAAAAATTTTCGCGAAGGGGGTGACTCTCGCCGGTTAGCTGTAATGGTAGATCCGCCAGTGGCAATACGTTATTCAGCTATCTCTTTTCTTCGAAATCTTGAAATTATATGTGAAAATATACAATCGTCATCTTGATTTTGGTGGTTGAATTTCCAAGCAAATGTTATAAATAGAGACTGAAGATAGAATTAAATATGCATAGCGCTCAGCAAGTCTGAGGCAAGCTTAAAATCTGAGTTTCCTTTCATATATTAGGTTAAAAGAATCTCATGGTTTTTGTGTAGTTAAATTAACATCATTTTATTTTATTTTTGTGCTTTTTCTACGTTATCAATACTTTGTTGGGTTAAAAAATTTTGGCCTATCAATAAAAATCTTACCAATTTTGTCTATGGTATTTTTTTGCCTTAATACAAGTTTGCCCAATGGTCTAAAAATCCTGGTTACGCCGCTGTGTATAATAATGCCAGAAATCACATACCATCAAAACTAATGAGCGACACCGTTCTATCTAGCGAATATTTGTTCACCACAGAGACTATATATATATATTTTCATTTCGTTTCACCCCATATGCATGACGCATGTAAGAATTCACTAAAGGTTTTGGCAGTCTCTTATGCGAGGTTTGTTCTGTACTGAATTATTTTATAATTCCAAAGTATCATTTTGAACCCCATGTAGATACACATACACCCTACTTCTACGTGACAAAGTGGGACTCGATTTTCTAAAACAGGTGTTCAATTAGGATTATTTCTGCAAAAGTCTTCCCACTGCCTTTCTTAATGATGAGTAATGATGTTGGTTGTCAATATGTTTATAAAGCTTCAATGATTCAATAAAAGAACATTCGGTTAGGGTGACCTTCTTTTCAAAACAACAATTAGTCTTAGGGCTAGTCAAGCCAATAGCTAAGGTTAGGTTCTGACAGAAAAGCATCAATAAAAGACCGAAACGTTGAAACAGTGTTGCAACTGAAACGTTATCTCACTTTTTCCGGTGACTTTCCGCCGTTCTCTTACTCTTCCCTACTAAAACCACTGTAGATTACTCGAGAAACTGAAAATTTTCTAGGCTGAATACTACTTCCTGGTTCCGGATCAAAATGAAACTTTTCTTCTGGATTGAATGATTTTTTCACATCCTTCGTATGCATTACCATAAAATATTAATTCCGGAGTCTAGAACTATCGAACTATCGAACAGAATGAATGAGATATCATACTTACATTAAAACCATGTATCGAGGCAATAAAAACAAATAGTGTTTTAAATTCAAAACTTTGCCCTATCAGATAACCAGTAGATTCTGCTATGTAACCGTTCTTTTATCAGATTGTATAGGGGAATATTTAATCAACCACCCTGCTTATGCTTATGCGCGGCCCTTCTTGCGGCACTAGTGCTGAGTGCTATTGCTGCAATTGTGATTTTTCTCTCAATATGTGAGTACTAATAATTTTCTTTCATGCTTATCATATTGTATCTATCCATCCTACAATTTAGCGGATAAAAATACAACAACAGCTACAACCTCCACAACCACAACTAGTACGACCAGCACTACAACAACAACCACTACGACAACAACAACAACTACTACTACTACCAGCACTACAACAACAACAACTACGACAACAACAACAACTGCCACGACAACAACTACTACTACTACGACTAGTACGACAACAACAACAACAACAACTACAACAACAACTACCACGACTACGAGCACAAAAACGACGAGCAAGTGCTATCATGCCTTATTTGCAATAGAAATGTTCTAAAGTATCATAGAAACTAAGAATCAGTAGATTTTTGCAAACAACGATTTTCGTTGATTTCCATGCAATACGTTCTATGCATCGAAGTGTATAATTTGATTACTCGTTCAGTTATCTACAATATATGCTGTGAGTAAAGCTCTTCGTGTAATGAGGAAAACATCCACACCCAATGGTCAATATTGTCTCTCAATCTATATGTTAGGAATTGAGAATAAATAGAGACATCCAAGTAAACATATCAACTACCAAAATTCTACTCTTTCCTATCCTATTGAATACATCACTGAATAATACACGAATCGATTGCATATGAATCTCGGGAGTCACTGCACGTATCAGAAATTAATCGAGTACGATTTGATACTTTTTTTGATAGATTAGCTCTACTACTGCAGAGAACGCTAACATTTTCGTTTGAATTCTTCCATCTTATTTGATAACGCACTCTCGTCTTCGTATATCAGAAAGTAATGTAGAACTTCGACGTCTGAGCGGATAAAAAAGTCTCACATCAGTTTGATCCTAATGCAATCTCAATTTTTCATATTCGGTCACATGTGCTCTTGATGGGAGACCGGAACTTCGGCTCACGGAATTTTTGGGGCTGGGCTTTCAGACCAATTTTATACAAATTGGTTTCTAGATTTTTTTAGTACCGAGCGAAGCGACGTTTTTCATTCCATAGAAGAAAAACTAGTTGAAATAGAAAAAGCGAATTTATACCTAATATACATCTCAACAAATTTCGAAAAATATACCAGCAATAGTGAATTCTACATCTAAAATAAAACTAAAAAATGTGCATCCTTAAGTCAATATTGAGATTACACTAGATTCATTCGTGCTTGTTGTGGATAAACGATATGTTTCTTAAAACGCCATACTATGTTCTATAATAATAGAAGTGCTGTTTTAAACACTATTACTTTGATCAGCACTACGTCGCTTTGCTGGGCACTACGACGCTTCGCTCGGCACTACGCCACTTCGCTCGGTAATAAAAATATCTAGAAACCAATTTTCAAAAAGATCCTTTTTTTTAGAGTTTGATGAATTTGTATAAAATTGGTCAGAAAGTCCGGAGAATTTTCGGGCCGGGCCGAAATTCATGTAACCCCTCTTGATAAGAGCCGCTATCGCTGAATGGTTAAGATGTTTGGCACATATCGACAAGATATCGTGTTCGAACCTCGATTCCATCAGTCATAGAATAAACTTGGACAAGTCACTAACGGCTGTTTTGTCTCGGATCACCCATCCGATAAAAAATTGACTACATAGTTGACGTGCACTAAATAGTTCTTGTGACTAGTATGTGTATGTGGCTAGTCAGTATGCATGGGGAGCTTAAGAAATTAAGCGAGAAGAACTCTGAGTCAAGCCGGCCTTCTGTCCAGAGCTACATTTAGTAATAGATGTAGGAAAAATATCGGGCTTCTCGAAACTGTCCTCGGACAGCACCCTACACCGAAAGGTAGCCGAAAGGCGGGGTATTCTTCTTCTCTTGATAAACAAAAAATTTAAAAATTCTCATAAACCCCGGAAAGGTAGCTAACTCCTTTTATTAGTAAAAGTCATGAGCGGGATGGATAATGAGTGAAAACCGAACTATCCTTAGCCACTCTATGTCTTCCAATATAGACTATAGGAGAGCTATCGATGACACTTTACTTTTACTTTAACAGTAGATAGGTAAATAAGATACTTATTTAATTAGTAATAAAATCCATTTTAGCAACCGCATGTCCAAGTTCATTTACTGGATCTTTACAGTACATTGATGGTGGGTCTACATTTGGTTGGACTCAATATACGCAAACTTATGTGGCTACTAATACTCAGCCCTATCTCTCATTCGGAATGGAAACAGACAACCACCGTTATTTCTTTTTAGACGATGTTTCTGTCGTCGATGTTACCGCAACTGCTACTCAGTTATTGGATAATCCTGGCTTTGAAAACTCCACAACAACAGCCACTGGGTGGACTTTGCAGGCTGCAGGCTGCTGCGACGCAAATGCAGTTCAAATAATCACTACCGGTTGTCACAGTGGTACCAATTGCGTTCAATATCAATGTGGCCCTGAAGTTACTTACAGCTTTTTTGGTCAAGATTTTGCAGCCACAATCGGTCACACTTATAGTATTTCTTTCTATTTAAAAGCTACAGGCACAGGTGGTCAACCCACTTTTTGTGCCGTTAACGTTTATTGATAGAGACTAAAATTCAATCTGAAATCTGAAACTCAATACATAAAATGAAAACGCTTAGTTTTGTTGAAAAGCACTTGACTATACTACTTGTGTGTCACTATTAATTAGATTTCTTCTTAATCATTTGAAATTATATTCTACAAACACATATATCTTATTTTGATGCACAATAAAAATTGATTGAAGCCAAACATAACTGTGTTAAAATATTATGTGCTAATTACTTAGTATATATAGTATGGCGACAACATTGTGTGTGTGAGCGTGGATGTGGG